TCGTGAAACTACCTAACCGTGTATTTGCTGCGTAAATAGGCAGAAAATCCGTCACACGAAGATAATTAGCTGCAATCGTCGGGGAAAGTAACATGGTCTTGACATCCTCAGATTTCAAGTAGTTWCMATCTCCTAAACTCGAAATACTATTGTACAGATTATCTATAGCCATCGGAGAAGAATTATCCATCGTTAAACGTTTTACAGCGCCCAACGGGATCGTTAGAAAGCTGAAGAGCAGTTCTATAAAAAACTTCTCGACTTGTGCACATAAGACCTTCTTCTTTGATTTCTGGACGAGTAGTTTCATCGTCTGAGGCTGGACCGATTCACTTGACGGCAAATGTGAACTACTTGGTGTCGAATTCGTGATGCACGATGAACACGGGAACGTTTTACTTCCTCCAAGAACGAGATTCGTCAATGGATTATTTGTTAACAATGACCACTTGAGTAGATTTGAAAACTGAAATAGTAATTGAAGCCGGTGTCAGAACGAAACTGTTATAATATGTGGAACCCCTTTAAATCCAGACAAATATAGAGCCTAGATGGACTGTGTCTACACTACAACAAAACTAGGTTTACAAGACGCCAAAAATGTTTAAGTATCCCAATAGACTACTTTATAGGAGTTCATTTTATAGGATCAGACGTCTTATCTAAGAGTGTCGCAATAAGTTTAGGACGCTTTTGGGTGTCTTAACAAACTTTTTAGGACACTTTTAAAATAAAACGTTGTATTAACTATTTTATATGATGCTATTTGAAAAAGTGTATTACAAAAACAAGTGTCATATAAAAAGATGTGTTCATAGAACACTTTTCAAAATGTTCTACAAAATAGCTAATGCGACTCTTTATTTTAAAACTTATTAAGATATCCAAAAACGTCGTATATACTTATAACTAACAATTTTAGATAAGACGTATTATTATTTGTCCTATAAACTTAAGATATATAAAACGATCTATTATGACACTTGGACATTCTTAGCATCCTATAAACCTGATTTTGTTACAGTGCTAGGTGGACGTGAGAGTCCAACCGATGATTTTCTTAAAACATACACACCGATAATTTAACCAAAATGTTACCTCTTCCAAGCCGAATACGACAGTTCTCTCATCTAGCAAATCAATGTAATCGACACCAAGAGTGTTAAAGAGTTCGATGCCTCTGTCGAGCAAGACGGGTATAATGTTGAGATCATCCGTGATGAGGAACGATCCCTTCTCTTTTATCAACACCGCATCACCATGATCATCGTCGTTAGAATCATCGATGGTTGGCTTCATCTCGTTTAGATTTACTTTCAGTTTCTGACAAAGATCAGCCGATGAATTTCTTGGATTAACCAACGCAACTTTACACTCCTCGTTGGAGAAACGCTCGATGTCAAGATTCACAACACTTTCGTATAGAGACGTCAAGCTTCCAACTTTTACATTCTTTTCGTCCTCGTGATTGATCGAGAGTCTTGCGATTTTTCCCAGCGGCAAAGTGAGAAAACTGAAGAGAATTTCGACAAAGTCTTGATCTGCTTCCGCAAACATCACTTTTTTCTTCTTTTTGTCCACGAATACTTTCAGGCAAACTGATCTCGCGTTGCTTCCCATCGGTCTGTGATCAAGCTAACCACCTTTTTCGTGTCTTCGTCGTCTGATTGAGACCGCGAAAGATTGAAATGTGATTCGGGTTTAAATGGATTTCCAGTTTCTTTGTTCAGACTCACACTTCAACTAAGATTCTCATCACTTTATTCATTAGTGAAGCAAAACTAGAAGAAACTTTCTATGTTGGTTTGAAATCAAGTTATGTTTCCATTCAGACAAAGTATATGCCATACCATGATTTGTAGAACACCCAACCAGATACCTTACTCAGATTCTTGGGTGATGTGTGCTAGTCTATGGGTGGGTAATTGTTCTTAATCAAATCAGACAAGCTAAACAGACGTCAGCCTCTCCTCAAACGGATTCATTTCTAAAATCATTCTAGTATACAAAGAAACAGATAAAGATAAACCAAAATAACCTATGTAATAGAAGCCAAGTCTAAGTCGGTTGAATCACTTGGTTGATGTCATGATGATGTGCGCCAAAATCAAATCATGGATTAGAAAGATTAATAGATTGATGGAGTTCTTGAGTAATTTCAAAATTTGGAKACCGTCAATATCAAATGTGTGTCGATATGTTCAATGGCTTTAGTCGTCGATTTTGATTATGTTAAATGTTAGGCTTAGGGATATATCTGGATCATAGCCAATAAGTTAAAAAAGTTGAGCTTGCTAATATTAAAATAGATATAGATATATATATATATATATATATCTATATATTTGGCGGTCGGTTTGGTCCAAACCGCCCAAAAAAGGTTCTAAACTGCAGACCGGACCGGACCGCCCGGTTTTGCTATTTTCCAAACCTGATCGGACTGTCAGACTGCTCAACGGCTTTTTTGAACATCCCTATGTTTAGCAGACCAGAAAAAGGAACAAATGCCTTTAGACCGGGCTTTGTTTTCTATACAATTCATTGGGTTAACTCATTGCCCCTTTGTTAGTTTTGCAGCTACCGAATGGAGGACTTGTAGACATTTCATTAATATTAATAGAACATATGCAAACAAAGGGCAAATATCCAAATATATTACATGAATTATTAGAACTAAATATAGTGAGAATTACCTACATTGTACATCAAAATTAAGTTTATAGGACATCTCCAATCTTTAAACGTCTCAATAGAGCGCTTTATAGGACTTAATTTATAGAACCAAAATATAAAGCGTCCTATCTAAAGGTGTTGTAATAAGTTTATATGACGTTTTTGGGCGTCTTAATAAGTTTTTTAGGACATTCTCGATACAAAGTATCACATTAACAACTTTATAGAACATTTTTTAGAAAGTGTCCTACAAACTCATTTTTTATAGGATACTTGTTTTTACAAGACAATTTTTCAAATAGTGTCCTATAAAGTTGCTAATGGGACGCTTTATATTAAAAGTGTCTTAAAAAACTTATTGCGACGTCAAAACGTCATATAAACTTATTACAACGCCTTTAAATATGACACTTTATTTTTTTGGTCCTATAAATTAGGTCTTATAAAGAGGTCTATTAGGATGATTAAAAATTGGAAGTGTCCTATAAACCCAACTTTATTGTAGTAGTAACAATTTGGAGGCAGTAGCTACTTCATCCCAAATTCAACCGCCGATGTCGCTCGATCCAAGCGTCTTTGATGGACGATAAAGAGGCTAAATCCATAAAAGTATAAAAGTAAAAAAAAAATAGTAATTTTTGCAAGCAAAACGTTCATAAACCCATTATGCTACACATTAGTGAGAATAATTACTTAGTAAAATCATGATAAAGCTTGGACACAAATAACATAGTAGATTGAAAGAAACAAAGATAACTTTGTTGATTCTTACCCCGGTTTCCGCTTTCACATATTTATTATGCCGCCATTGCCAATGATATGCAGTACAGTTAGCTACACATTATTTAGGATGATTACTTAGTAAAATCGTGGTAAAACTTGAACACATATAACATAGTAGATTGATAGAAACATATATAATTTAACATCCCGGATGCAGTCCTGACTCCTGACCAAGAACATCCGACCTGTTCTCCATGTACAAATCCCGGCCCCTAGAACTGGTCTCGGACTGGCCAAATTGGTCCTAAACTTTTTCATCAAAGTTTAACTTTCAACATAAAAAAAAAACTTGTTTGAAGAATTTTTTATGTATGATATCTTATTGAAATCTGCTTTAAAATCTCTAATGGGTCATTTAAATACACTTAAAATATTTTTTAAATCTTTTTCACACAAAAAAGTTATAAATGTTTCTATAATTACATTTTTTAAAGTTTAGTGTTGTAATATTTAAAAAACTTTAAGAATGAAATCTTGAAATCCCCATCAAGTATGATTAATTTATAACCTTTACATCATCGTACTATCTAAACACACATCCGAATGAACAGAGAATAAACCAATCATATTAGAATTCAATAGATCCTTTAAACAATACCAAACAATAAGTCTTCACTACTTCTATGAGTCAAGAAAAGTGTGGTCAGTTTATGACATATTCGAAAGTCCCATACCTGGTCTTCGAGCAAGGCCGGCTTTGAGTTTTCATAAAAACCGTAACTGGCCTCGGACTGTCGGTCAATAACTGGGCCTTACCAGCCCTGGGCTGGGCATGGGCCCATTTTGGCCACAACCAAAAGGAAAGCGATCGAATCATAGAGGAAACACACAACCAAAAAAGAGCCCATGTACTGTAAAATTTTTAAAAAGAACGCAGCAAAAAGAGAGAAAAAGATCGGTTTTAGAGGAAGCCTAAAAATTCAGCAAAAACAGGATCATTCCAAATATACAAAACTCAAATAAAAATTTAAGGTTGTTAAAAGAAACAAACAAAAAAGAAGACTATTCCCATAAATACCAATGCAAACATTTTATTTTAGAGGCTCCATTTGTTTGTTTTGCATCAAGGACAATTTAACCTTTGTGGTCAATAGATCCTTTAAACAATACCACGCACTAATTATACTTATACGCATCTGATCTCACAACTACAAAAATCTCATGTGAAACCAATATCATATCAAAGATAGAGCAAACCTTTTTCTCGATGCCCGAGGTTGTAATTGGAGCACCACCAAACAACGGCAAACCCTGGCTCATGGGGGACGATTTTTCGTACCATAGACCAAGTTGAAGAGGAGAGAAAACATAGAACCGTTAAGTCTACTTATACCCATCTAATCCAACAACTACAAAAATCTCATGTGAAACCAATATCGTATCAAAGATGGAGCAAAATATAAAATGAAACATTAAAATCAAAATGTATCTCGCTGCATTGTGCGAGTACCATTCTAGTATATATATATATATATATATATATATGTGTGTATATGTACTAAAACATATATATCTAGGTTTTTCTGAACTAAAATCACGTAAATGATAAAGATCCACTGATAAATTTCATTCAAGTAAGCTTTGCAAATGGCAGTACACAAAGTTGAATGCACCAGTGTAAAGGATTAACATTGTAAAGGATTAACATTAATATCAATACAAAACAGAAATATCATGACTAGATCTACCAGCAACACATGTATTGGGGATTTAAGACGACGGTTCTGCCTTTTGTTTCCTTGTAAATGCAATGAGGCAATCAGTTAAAACTGATGTCGAGGTTAGTGAAGCTTTGAGAATTGCAAGTGCCTGCATAATCAAGGGTGTAATGCATATAAAACTAACTAGAAAATGTATTCATCATTCATGTTTCTAAATGATATATAGCTTACCTCTTGTTTACCAATGCTCACTTCCACAACCTCCACATCAGGAATGCCAATTGTGTTCAACACAGAAATTATAGAAGTAGATGGTGAAACTGTTACTTTCAGATCATCAGAAACAATGAATGTTGCATGTTTCTTGAGGAAATGACCTGAGCATACTCTTGGGTCATAAATCGGCAAAAGTTCAGTAACACGTTGATAATTAGGTGCAACCTTTGGGCTAAGTAACATGGTCTTGACATCTTCAGATTTCAAGTATTCTCCATCTCCTAATCTTGTAATACTCCCGAACAGATTATTTATAGCCAACGGAGAAGAATTATCCATTGTTAAACGTTTTACAGTACTTAATGGGATGGTTAGGAAGCTGAAGAGCAATTCCACAAAAAAATTCTCCACTTCTGCACATAATACAATCAACTTTGATTTTTGCACCAGTAGTTTGATCGTATGACGCTGGCAAGAGTCGTTTAAAATCAAAGTTGAATTATGTAATGTTGAGTTTGCGATGCACAAAGAGCACAAGCATGAACAGGAGCACAATTTAGTTCCCCCGTACACTAGATTTGTCAAAGAATTATTTGTCACTAATGACCACTTGAGAAGATTCAAAAACTGAAATAATAATTTGAAGGGGAAAGTTAGCGTTAAACGATATATTCTTGATAAATGATCCAAACCGCTATAAATAAATAAAAACATTACCTCTGCTATGCCCAAACGCATGGTCCTTTCATCCAGCAAATCAATGTCTCCAAGACCAAGAGAATTAAGGAGTATGATGCTTGTATTGGGCAACACAGGAAGTATATTAAGATCATCAGTGACGATGAAAGATGACTTGTTTTTGACCAACACTGCAATACCCTCACTATCACCGACAGTGGCACCAAATGGATTTCTGTCATCTAGATTTACTTTCAGCTTCTGGAAAACAGAAGCTGATGCATTGACTGGATTAACCAGTATATCCTTACAATAGCTGTTAGTAAAATGTTTATCATCAAGATTCAAAATACTTTCATACAAACAAGTCAAGCTTCCAACCTGCAAGTCTGAATGTGAGCTTGAGAGTCTTGCAATTGTTCCCAGAGGCAACATGAAAAAACTGAAGAGAATTTCAACCAAGTCTTCTTCTGTTTCCGCAAACATCACTTTTTTCTTCTTTTTGTCGATGAATACTTTCAAGTAAACTGATTTTTCTTTGCTTCCCATCGTATCTGATCAAGTTAACAACATCCATAAAGATCAAAAAGTTTATGCAAGAAAAAAAGTCTAAAAAGGTTGAAACAATGTTTATGACATTTGAGAGATATGAACTTGTAAAAAAATGATGTATGGAACCATTTGACAGCAAAAAATGATATGTTTAAGGCTGTGGATGATGCTCTCCATAGCGATTTCTGTAAAATATGATATGAAGGCTTGATAGTTGAATGCTTCAAGAAGATAAAGTCTAAGCTTAATTGGTTCTATATTAATCTTAGCTTAAGGAGTGTTGAAAGGTTAATCTAGATTTAATATTATGTCTAATCAACAGTTGGGATCCATTGGAAGGGTAAACCTTGTTTTCAATTGGCATGTAGCCACGGGGTCTGAACATAATTAGCAAGGAAGTAGATACCTTAATGAAAGGGTAGAATTTCAGTTCAAAAACCCTATCAGTTAGTGCAGCTACTTTGATGACAATACCTGTTGCAGTAGTTTCAGTCTGACCTGCCAGCAGTAGCAGTGCATGTTTTGCCAGGTTAACCATGTAGGAAGCAAATCTCAGGGAGATATGAGTCAAAGGATGATGTTTGTGTAAGTCCATGGCTGACAACATAGTACATTGAGCAATGTGAGACAGGGCTCCACCATGGAGACCACAACTGTGCCGACGGGCAGGTTAGCAGGAACAGGGAGACCCTTGGACGACACAACACCACCTATTGTGAACTTGTTAGGGCTTCCTTCCAGTGTTTGCGCAAAAGTAGTATAGTATTCTTGACTCTCATATGATTCAAACAGTCCAAACCGGAACATTGATGCAACAGCATAACCAGCAAGAACATAAGCTCCTTCAGGCAAGGCCTCAGCACAGTGATGTTCATTCTCTAAGTGTTCATTTTGGACTGTTTGAATCATATGAGAGTCAAGAATACTACACTGCTTATGCGCAACCACTGGAAGGAAGCCCTAACAAGTTCACAATTGGTGTTGTTGTGTCAACCAAGGGTCTCCGTGTTCCTGCTAACCTGCCCGTCAACACAGTTGTGGATCCCTCTGATGTCAAGGTTGACACCAAGCTTCTGGAAATTGGCCCTGGACTTTGTATTGCAGCTGGCTTGAACCACTACATGTTTAACCACACAACTAGAGGATCTGCAGTGGGTCTTTGCTCACATACTTGGCTACGTTTGGTGTCATGAGAGCTGACCAAGACAGAGACTGCAGAGTTAGTTACAACAGTATTTTATGAAGCTCTACACCCTGTGAAAAAAACATGATATTGCCAATCTCATTTAAGAAATCAAGAGTGACAAGCCATGCTCATGTGAGTAATGCTATGAGATATGAGCTCCTGACTACTGATTACTTAATATCAAACTGAACCCTAAACCCACTGGTGCCCACAAAGCATATGCATGCACTGCTGCCCTAAAGAGAGTGGTCCAGGGAGGCTGGCGCCATTCCTCCCATGGTCTAGCTCTCTGAAAGGTTAATCTAGATTTAGTATTATGTCTAATTAAGTGTCAATTTGGAAATGGTAGGTCTGTTTTGAACCGTTGCAATGATTGGAAACCATTGTGACAGTTAATGGCAATTATTAGGTGTATTTATTTATATCTATACTATATTATAAAGCATTTGCCAAAAACTCGTAAAAACCAATTTTTATAAAGTACTATGTATTGATGCATATTACTTAAAATTCAAGACTACAAGTAAATAGTGCATAAGTACAACTCATTAAAGTTTCATGTTTGAATTTGTGTAACTAACTTCAGATAAACATAACCAAATAGAGAATAAACATTATATAATTAGGATAATCATTGAGTTCTAACAAAATACTTAATTATTATCTTTATAAAAATTTATATTATTAAACCAAAAATAAAAAATAAATTAAAGGAATACACAAAAAAACGAGAAATTTTAAATAGTTAGTTTGGTACTAATACCAAATTTTTATTAATGATATCTTCATATTTATATTTTATTGAAAAATAAAAACATTATCGCTTTCTCAAAACCACTAAAACCGTATTATAACATCAACTAAGACAAAAAAACCAAAACACTAAAATCGAGATGTATCTCGCTACATTATGCGGGTACCCTTCATATTGAAGAAACATGCAAAAAAACAAAATGCAGAAGATGATGGCTTCGCACAACAACAATGTTTTCCAGACCTCTATTCCAAAATTAAATAGAAGTAACTATCACCAAATGGGGTATTCAAATGAAGATGTTTTACAAATCTCAGGATCTATGAAACTTGGTTGAGGATGGATTACAAGAACCCAAAATCCTACCGCTTTAACAGCCCAACAAAACAACAAATTGAAAGAAAATAAGGACAGGAAAGCTTTGTTCTTTATATTTCAGACTGTGGATGAAGTAATTTTTGGAAGAACTTCTTCATCTTCAACATCAAAAAAGGCATGGGAAACACTTTACAAGATTACCAAGGAGAGGATAAAGTTAAAATGGTACATTTGTAAACTTTACGTTGTGAATTTGATGGAAATATGTTGAGAGCAGGGCCGTCCTAATTTTTTTGGAGGCCCTGTTACACCTGTTAACACGTACTCCTCTTTCTCATTCACTTTAACTGTCTTCACACCTTTCCTTCTTTCTTATTATCTTTAGGTCCATCAACAACATCTAATCCTAGTGACCCATTAACCCCTTTCTTCTCCTCCATCGTTCCCAAATTCAGATTGGGTTTATTCTTGATTGGAACAACAGAAGATCTGCTTTTTCTTAATTACCCCTTATCTGAAATGGGTTCTGCCATTCCACCAAAACTGCTTCTTTGAGATGTGAGAGAAAAAGCTGAAGGAAAAAACATATACCAAACAAACACAAAACACAATCCCAAGATTGCCACTGATGCGAACTTTATAAAAAAAACCCATATGACCTTTTTGCTTGTCAACAAAATCAAGCTATAGGCAAACCCATCTTCTTTAAACCCATCGACTTAAAAGTTAAAAAAACAGATGGAAAACTACTTTACATAATCAATTTCAATGAATAGGAATAAAAACAAACAGAATGCGGGCATGAATGGCAAAATGGGTAGTGAAGTCAGAAGTGCTAACCATAAGCGAAATGATGTAGAGATCAAGAAGAATAAACAAATTGTTGAAGTTAGTTACCAATTGAATACTTAACAAAATTGCATTGACATATAGCAATGCAAGGGATGCCCATGTGTGTTCTTAGCCTGCTTGAATCTTGATTCAACTTCCAAAACAAGTTGGATCACAAATCGGAATGAAATAATAACTTTCTGATAAGAGTAGAAAAGGGAAGTAAACAGTCGGTAGCCCAAATCAAAACCAGAAACAAAATCGGCAACTCAAAGCAAAACCAAAAACAAAATCGGTAACCCAAATCAAAAACCTGGAACGAGATTGGTAATCTAAAAAACTTTCAAACAACTTCATCACTGGGTTTTAACAACATCACAAATTCCCCTCATGTACCCGTTTAAAATATTTCACCATTGCAAATCTGCTACATGGACGACTACCGACAAATCTGTGTGTGTGTATTGCTCAATAACAGGTCTCAATAAGTCAAATGGAAAACAAGTCGAGCTATAATCGCTTATTTTCTGATTTATATCAACAATCCATCATCAATTAACCTCTAAATTTGCTTTAACAGCTTTTAGAAGTCTGTTAATTTGGAATGAATTCATATATTTTGGCCTACCAATTCCACCAGAACAACAGAGTTTTATGAATTATGATGTCTCAAATAGCCAAATAATAATCTGGAAAGAAAAATACCGTCGTTGATGTGTGAAGTACAGGCCCGTCCTGTCGTCCAACGAACAGCAGAAGTGAAATAGAGTCAACAAGGTGATATTGGTTGTCGGTTGAAAGATCGAAGGTCAGAACTCAGAAGAAAAGGGCGTCTGGGCGAAGAACCAAAATGGAAGAGAAAGTACCTGGACAAAGAACCAAAATATAGTCGTTGATGTGTGGAGCCATTTGGATTCGGGTTCATGGAGGTCGTCATTAAGTCAGAAGGAAGGGAAGAAGAACCGGCAAAATGCCAGGAAGATTGAAACGTCGGGTGTAAGAGACGAAGAGTCGGGTATGAAATTTGAGCTGGGCCCTGGATGAGAGTTGGGCGCCTTTTAGTTAAATACTTATTTGGTAAGTGTTTACGGATAAAATTACCTAACAAGATTTTAGTCCATTAAAATAATATTGTATATAAAAATCTACCCGATAAATACTAACCGAGTAAAAGTCGTCACCTTCACTTACTGTGTAAGACACTCAGTCCTTGCTTTTGTCGTTACTTTCGTTGGAAAATTTGTTGAGGACACTTCAGTCCCATGAACTTCGAATGGGAAACTTTGATGATAGACCTATGGAACAAGCTTTTTATTGACAAGTTACGTTACGTCAAGAGGAAAGGGTAAGGATTATGAAAGGAATTCTTATGGAGACCATGACAAAGATAAATACGGTGAAGGGCCTTCCAATGGGAAAAGAAGTGGAAGACCTTTTAGTAGAAACACAGGTATGGGCATACAATAAAGTATTGCAAGAAAGACGAGAAGATGAAAGCGAGGATGCATGAGGAAGAATCTAAGGAGGTTGAAACAATGTTTATGACATTTGAGAGAGATGAACTTGTTAAAAGATGATGTATGGAACCATTTGACGGCAAACGATGAACTTGTTAAATGATAATTAAGACAACTTTATATCTTTTATGAACAACTGATTGTAGGTTTTATACATACATATATATATATATATATATATATGTGTGTGTGTGTGTGTGTGTGTGTGCGTGTTGTTAACAGGGTTGGGTTCATGTGAGACCCGTGATACCATTTTTTTATACTTGAAACTTCACAACAAAACCCTGTAAAAGTAAAAAAAAGTCATACATTTACAGCAAAAACATTATGAAGGTTACTTTCACAATATTTTACTGTAAAAAATTGGTCTCATGAAAACAGATCACATGATTCAAAGTTTAATTAACAAATAACAACCATTTGTATATATATTTATGTGTTGGTGGATTATGTAATCCACAAAGAGGTAATTTACTTAATATCAACGACGTTGTTATTACAGCATTGAAATTAAACTTTGGAGCCGTTTACCCAATTGTTTATCTGATAAGCGCTTATCGATAGGAGTCAACATTATGATTTATTTTGATGCGCAAGATTTTAGTACATCTAAACATATCGAATGCAACAATTTACTTGGCAGGCGCTTACTTGGGTAAGAGTCGGCATCCTCACTTACTGGGTAAGACTCTTCATCATTCTCATCGCTCTTACCCGGTAAGATTTTTGGTCCTTCTCATGCCGATAAAGAAATTTATATGGTAAGCACTTACCAAGTAAATGTTTAGTATACGGTTCCTAACTTATTAGTTAGTTTACCAAATATAACCATAATGATCATACACGTGAACAACGTTATCGATTGAGTATTTCTTTACGAAGCAAGTTATAATAATCCATTTTGATGAACGATTTTCGAAGGTTTCACATTTCTGTCTTATTTAAAAGTTTTAATATGTTATAACTTGGATAATGTATTATTTTTGTTTTTGATAAATGATATATCTGGATTGAAACAAATTAAACACGTGCTTCATGTGCCATATTTGTATGAGAGATTAGGCTCCCTATTGAAACTTAGGGGCCATTTACCTAGACACTTACCCTGTAAGCATTTAACGGTAAAATTCAACAATATCGCTTACTTACTGGGCAATATTTTATTCATTAAAACGCATCGTATGCAACAATTTATCCCGGTAAGTGCTAACCATGGTAAGAGTTCTCGTCTTCACTTACTGGATAAGACTTGAGATTTTTGTCTTCGTTCTTATCGGGTAAGATTCTTAGTCCTTGTCATATTCATCCGGTAAAATAAAGTGACTTGGTAAGTGCTTACCCGAGTAAGCGTTTGATAAATGACACCTTAATTGCTAAGTTGTGGATTCAGAAAGTGATGATGGGGAGCTGAAATGGGAAGGACATCAAATCTCATAGTTCTCATTTGAATATGTAAGCACATCCATAGTTATATAAGAAAAGTATGCTTTGGCAATGCCTTTTTTTAGCAACGATATGTTTCAACCACAAGCTATAACGAGGATATGTCGTCATTATAAACTATTTATAACGTGGACTTTTAGTGACGATAAAAGTCGTTGCCAAAACCAGGGGCGGATGTAGTTTGTAAAAGGTGGGGGGATGGGCCCCATAAAAAATATCTTTTATCGAAGGTTAAAAAAACTACTATAATTCCCTCTAGTGATTTTTCGTYTGTCCTCCACCAACCGAAGAAAGTACATCGAAAAAAATCAATCAAAAAGCAAAAGAAAAATCTCTTAAATCAACCAAAAAAACAGGAAAAGTCCCTCGAAATCAACAAAAAAACCGATAAGTCCCTCGAAATCTACAAAAAAGTTCCTCAAAAAGGTGGAATTAAGCTAAAAACACATCGGACGACTTTGCGGGTCTTTAATCTATCCACTAGGTAAAAATTACGGATCCGCCACAGGCTAAAACCCTTTTGTTTCCCGTGACCAAAGGTTTGGGTACCTTTCAGTATTCAGTTTTCGATATGGCTAACATGGTTTGTTGTTTCTAATGTTAGTAACCAAAGGTCCCGATGAAGTTGAACGAAAAATTGGAACTGATTTCAATATGCTAACACTGACACCTAAATATCAGGGTCACTTTATCATGGCTTTCTCAACTGAAATCATTTTAAACAATATAAATCCACAACTATTCCATCATCAAGTACAATTTTTGCAATAGAAATAACGATAAACATATACACAAAGTCATAACACAAGAGCGTAAACCATTAACAATACTAGTACAAGACACAAATATCATGACTGAATCCATGAGCAACCGAATTAGGGCTTCAAGTCGATGCCTTTGGCTTCTTCATAAGCGCATCGAGGCAATCGGTTAAAGCCGATGTTGAGGTGATAGAAGCTTTGAGGATTAAAAGTGCCTGCATAATCAAGAAAAGGGTGTCCAAAATACAATTATTATTCCATCTATACTTCCTCTCTTGTTTATAATCACTGCAACAAAATTAAATTTATATTAAGACGATAAAAATTGTGTAAGTGTCTCACCAACACATAACTTTTTAGGATCAAACATCAAAATATCCTATCTAAAAGTGTTGCAATAGGTTTATAGGATGCTTTTGAGCATCTTTAGATTTTCTTAGACACTTTTAATAAACGTCATACCAACTATTTTGTAGAATACCATCWGAAAAAATGTCTTATAAAAAAGTGTTTATAGGACATTTTTCAAATGTATCCTATAAAATAATTAATACAACGCTTTATTTTAAGATTTGTCCTAAAAAACTTGTTAAAACATCGAAATTTTGTTATATAAACTTATTGCACCACCTTTAGATAACACACCYGTCTTRTAAAACAATATACTGAGACTGTCTCTTGGCGTCTTAAACCCCTAATCACGTTTCTAAATGATAACTTACCTCTTGTTCACCTACGCTCGCTTCGATAACCTCGATATCACCAACAGAAATGCCAAGTGTGTTGAACTTCGAAATYGTTGATATAGACGGTGACACTGTTATTTCTAGATCATCATAAACTATAAATGTCGTTTGTTCCTTAAGGAAATGACCCTTGCTTGTATTTACATCGTAAATGGGAAGAAAGTCGGTCACACGCAGATAATTAGCTGCGAGTTTCGGGCAAAGTAACATGGTCGTGACGTCCTCGGATTTCAAGTATTTCCGATCTCCGAAACTTGAAATACTATCGTACAAATTATCTATACCCATCGGAGAAGAATTATCCTTTGTTAAACGTTTTACGGCACCCAATGGGATTGTTAGGAAGCTGAAGAGAAGTTCCACAAAGAAATTCTCAACTTGTGCACATAATACCTTCTTCTTTGATTTTTGTACTAGTAGTTTTATAGTCTGTGACTGGCCTGAGTTCTTCGAAATCGAAGTTGAATTGCTCAAGGTAGAGTTTGCGATGGACGATGGGTATGAACAACAACACAAGCATGAGCTCGAGCACGAGCATGATTTACTTCTCGGAAGAACCAGATTTGTCAAAGGACTTTTTGTCAATAACGACCACTTGAGTAGATTGGAAGACTGAAATAGTAATTTGAAGAAGATAATCAAGACATATTTCTTTAAAATAATTCTAGAAACGGATATACACTACAACAAAATTGGCTTTATAGGATGTCTAGAATGTCTAAACGTCTTAATAGAATACTTTATAGAACTTAAGTTAGACCAAACTATAAATCATTTTTATTTAAAAGCATTATAATAGGTTTATAGGACGTTTTTATATGTTTTAACAAGTTTTTACGACACTTTTAAACTAAAGTTTCTTATTAACTACTCCCTCTGTCCCAAAATAAATGTTCATAATGAAAATGTCACATACTTTTAGGATTGTTTAATTATTACATTTTTTAATTAATAAAATGACAATTTTACTTTTAATTATAGAGAAATTTTTTTTATTCACCTTATAATTAAGGGTAACATGAGAAAGTAGACATTCACTTTTGAAAGTAGAAACTTATTTTGAAACAAACTAAAATAGTAACGTGAACACTTATTTTGAGAGTAAAGTATTTTATAAGATGCTTTGTCATGTAAACCAATCGTTTTGTACTAAACTCTTTTTTAAAAATGTCGTATAAAATAGTTAATACGACACTTTATTTTAAAAAAACATTCAAAAAACTTGTTAAAACGCTTATAAGCGTCATGTAAACCTATTGTAATACTTTTAGATGAGACGTATTTTTGGTTTGTTCTATAAACTTAAGTCCTATAAAGTATTTTATTAAGATATTTAGACATTTTAAAATAAAACCAATCCTGTTGTAGCAAGAATCAAAAACTTACCTCTTCCAAGCCAAAGCAAATGGTTCTCCCATCTAGCAAATCAATGTATTCAACACCAAGGGAATTAAGGAGTTCGATGCTTGAATCCAGCAACACGGGTACTACGTTGAGATCGTCGGTGATGATGAACGATGTCTTCTTTTTGACAAATACTGCATCGTCGTGACTACCAACGACAGTAGTATTACTGACGGGCTTCGTGTCGTCTAGATTTATTTTCAGCTTCCGGAGAACAGAAACCGATGAATTGTKTGGAATAACAAGTGCATCCTTAGAATGTTTGTTAGAGAAATGCTGATCATTTAGATTCACAACACTTTCATACAAGGAAGTCAAGCTTCCAACTTTTGTACTCTGCGAGTCCGCTAACGTGTGTGAGAGTCTTGCGATTGTTCCGAGCGGCAAAGTGAAGAAACTAAAGAGAATTTCAACAAAGTCTTCTTCCGCTTCTGCGAACATCACTTTTTTCTTCTTTTTGTCGACAAATACTTTGAGGTGAACCGAGTTTTCATTGCTTCCCATCGTCGATCTGCTCAAGGTGTTTTTGTTGTGAAGGTTCGGTTTTCTTTTACCTTCACAACATTTTGCTGTGAAGTTTCAAGTGTAAAAAAGTGGACAGGGGTCTCACGAAGACAAGTTGGTTTCACGTGAACCCAACCCTATAGATATATATATATATAGGGGTAAGATCAAATGTTAACCAAAGTTTTTGTATTAACTTTGTTAACCGATCTTGGCCATTCAATCTTTCAATAAATGGTTGTAATTAATCATGATAAAAACTTAATTTTTTAAATTTAAAATTGCATAAAGATAAGTGAACAATGTTGAAAAGGGTATTTAGGTAAAAAAATGTATGTAACTCCCAAATCATTAATTAATTGAGAGTTACAAAATCAAAAATTCTATGATTTTTTTGTTAATGTAAGAACCATATGAACACAACTATATATATATAGAGGAGCGTTCAAATGAAAACTTGACCCATTTATATAAACCGTGTAAACCGTGTAAACCAATCTCATCCGTCCATTTTYTTKATCAATGGCCTAAATTATATTATTTTATTTTAGGAAATTAAAAATTAAAAAATAATTAATATTCATTTTATTTAAGAAAAAAGGGTAGAATCGGTATTCATATCAAAAGCCCTCGTTTCCTATTTCCAAATACTCCCATTGTATTTTA